CAGACGTGTGCTCTTCCGATCTCCCCAAAACCCCAAAACCCCTCTGCATAAAAATTACTATCAATAAAAAAAAGTGATCTAAGGTTATTAATTAAATTTAGCAGTGATAATAATAAATGATGATGGATTATCAGGACTAAACTTTTAACAATGATCGTAGTTTTTCAGTCCTTAAAAAACCAGTGCTAGAATATTAAAGAAATACCTATAATGAGCAAGAAAACATAGGGAATTAGTTTTAAGAGACAGAAAGTAATCTGAACACATTTGAAAATGATGACTCTTAGGGACCAGAATAGTTTTAAAACTCATAGTAGAACCCATACTCTAATAGCAGTGCCCAACCACTTTAGTCAAAGGGAAATAGATCAAAGTAAACCAGAAAAAACAGCAAGATTATTCCACTAAGAGATATATCAAATGCTACTGATCCTGATAAGTATGAAATTAATATCTTGAATGATCTGATCTATCCTATTGATACTGATAGTCTAAGCTAGAAAATGAATTAAAGACAAAGTAAGTTAAGAGATCCTGATCAGTTATTCTAAGCTGAAATGAGTTCGAGCCCGAAAGCAGAGCCTAGATAGTCTTATACCTAAAAAACTGGAAAATAATTAGAGAGTTAGGTTTTAGAATCACGTTCATCTGAATTGAGTAAAGGTGATAAAAGGAAATAATTAGTTTTATCAATATTAAATGTTACTCTAGAAACCTATAACATCAATCATACTCTAACAGCAGAAGAATTTTATGATCTACTCGATCCACAATAGCTTAAAATATTTGCTACTAATATTGAGAAATCTTTCATCTAACAATTTGATAGACAAAATCTGAATAGAATTCCATTTGAAATGTCTAGCTATGAACCATAAGATAATTGTTTTATGCTCGATCTAGGGCATTACCCTTTAACACCTTTTCTAAATCCAAAAGTTGCAAACGAGAAAAATGAAAATACAAAGTAGTTGAGAAAGTTTGATTTTTTCTATCCTCCTTAAGATAGAGATGATCTCATAGTAGTTTTACACAAAGAATGTTCATCTCAATTCGCATTGTCTGATTAGAATGAAGAGTCATAACTCTTGACTTATAATAGCTTCGATAAACAGATATTACAAGACAGTATAATGGGGATTAATTCAATACTAAAATCTACCACTAAAATACAGAATTTCTATGAGAACCTTATTTTATACTGCCTTCTTTTTGGCTTAGTAGTTATATCAACTATATGTATTGCATGTGGAATCATAATCAGTTATGTCATATCTCTGGTCCTTTCAATTTTTTACTTTATTGGGTTTATATTCGTAATATATTATGCAAGGAAAAAGACTTAGGGATTGCTGATTAAAACTCACCTAAATTTATCATTAGCAATCAGAAATTATAATGACAATTTGTATATATAGTATTAACTTAAGGCAAGACCGGGCTTTCTAGGAAAGTGGATAGAATTCCATTCAGCTAGTCCTTACTCTTAGGCATTACCCTGAACTGAAATATAGTTAGAAATGTATTAAATAATAAAGCCTTTATTTTAAATTTAAATAATCTTCACTTTAATAATTTTAGAATTATTTAAATAATTTCGATTAGCGGGGTTTTGGGGTTTTGGGGTTTTGGGGTTTTGGGG